CTCGGGACAATGCTCGCTGCTTTACACCTTCGAGAAGAAACGTCCGCATAAAGATTCAAGAATACTGAAATCGAGATATCAAGGACAAGCTGTATACCAGAAAATTCGCCTTGATGAGCTGAGCACAGCACCGTTTTCGGATTCAGAATATACTTATTCTGGAGGAAGTTATGGCGAGTAGAAGGCGCGTGATTTTTGCAGAATTCACCACCTGTTTTCGCGCTTTATAAAGCACGTCTCCGTCTACTTTTCACCGCTGAATTATCTACGAAAACAGCTCTTTCCGATTCGCCTTACCGGAATCTTTAAAGTGTGAAAGGGGCTGGCACACAGCGTTGCAAAGAGGCGTCTGCAGAAAAAGGTGAAGTTTTGCTGGAAGCAGAATATCATAGTCATCCGGTGTGTCACTTTGCTCACATAAGCAACAAGACATGCTGATTACAAAGATTATAATTGTTTTGCTAATCATAGTGTTACTGTACAGTTATGTTTGTTTTACGGTAAGTGGTTCATGTATATTTACTAAGTTCACGTACTCCTTTCTCTTTTTTCCACTACAAAAATGGATATGGTTTTCTGCTGGAAACACTCAGCAGAAACTCTTCCTAAACGCTCTTTTTCTTAAACCTTTGCCTACATTATGCGCCAAAATACACACTCTAACTTTAGAAAACACCACCACAGGATGCAACGGATTCCTACCATGCACTTACCGTGACCGAGCCGATTACAGCAGTTCAATAAATGAAAAGATTCGTCTCGGCGAGCTGAATCCAAATCTGCCTTCAGCGAAGGGAGTTATGACGAAAAGACGCAAAGTCGGCGACATCGGCGACATCGGCGAATTCGGCGAATTCGGCGAATTCGCCGAAATTTTTCACATTCCACTGTCAAAGCTGTATATAGGTACTATCTGACAGAGAACAATATATTCTGATTTCTATCGAAATTGAAAAGTCCGACCGCTCCTCTTTCTTGAGAAGTCCGCAGTTATTCACTAAGTGTTCCATTTTTTTACCGTTCACCCTAGTATATAAGAAGGAGATGAGAAGGATGTTCTTTGCTGAAAAACGAGCCAATTTTATCAAGTGGTGTCTTAAAAAATTTGCAACGCTAACCGTACCTCTGACCAAGCATTACTAAACACTTTATTCGTATTAAGCAAAGGCCCTAGGCTCCATCTGCGCGGGATACTGGCTACACACCATGTGCGCATTACTGTTTGCGCTAATAGTGATGGCCTTGATTTACCGCTACACTTTTGAAGATAATTTCGTTTCATAGAAAAACGAGGGCAAAAGCGAGAACGCTATGAAATCAATTGGTCAGCAGGAACGCAACGGCTCAAAATGAAGCATTTATTTACAATCAGGTGCTAGGTTGTATGTATATTAACAAGAACGATCTTCCAAAGCTTTTCTTACAGACTATGTCAATTATTGTGAACAAAGGGTAAATTTTGTTGAAATCACAGATATAGCCGTCAACTGAAACTCGTGCACGTAGCCGTTTATGCGATCTACTTATAAGCTTATCGGTTTGCGATAGCGAGAACATTCGAATGTTTATTGGAGCTTATCTGTGTGCATGTGTTATATCAGTGCTTATCAGTGTTATCAAAAGTTTGCAAGCGCTTGACCACTTTATCTGCAGTCATTCCGCCTGCTCTTACAATTATTATATTCCCTTAATTGATCTAACAATTTGTTTCTTCTATTGCAGATTTGGTGCGTAAGTTTCAAGTACGTTCTATCTAATTTGCAAAAATTTCGTAAAAAGTGCACTGAAAGAGTCTGAAAGTTCAATAACGATAAAATTCAAAGTAAATATTTGCCCTTAGCGTACATAGCAGTGTGAGCAACAAGTTTATAGACGTTTCAATCTCTAGCTTTTCTATGGAATGCACATTTTGAAGCTGATCTTTGACAAACTACGTAAATAGCATGAACATAAAAGACAGAAACGACCAACAGAATTTTCAGAATGCGGCTGCGATATGATCGATTCCAATACGTCAAAGGTATGTGAAATTTTTTTATACTTTTTTCATTTTTTCAGCTGCAATAAAAAAAAGATAAATAGCAGAGCACATCTTTGCAATGCCTTTGCTCCCATTTTGCGTAGTGAAGCTGATGCCTATCGAAGAGGGTCACTATGCACGCTTGAATTTCTTTTCCAATACGAAAATCAGGCCGCAAATAAAACCAAAGTATTGCAGACATCAAAATTTGTGCAGCATTTACAGCTGCAAACATATGTATTTTGAATCATCTAAAATATTGAGTGGCTCCAAAAGTTCGTGTCGTTTTTAGACCTATCTTCAATTCAGAATAACGATAGGCAAACATTCTATAGTTCTATGCATTTCTTCCTTTTTTCAGCAGCAATGTTCTTGTTCTCTTTCGATGAAATTTCGAATGATCGCCACAATCTCCGACCCATGGATTTTACGTACCCCAAATTTAGCTGTTTTTGAAATGTTCGCTTTGTACTTTTGAAAATGCTTTGGTAACAGTTGGATAAAACAAACGAAATGCTACAAAAGCCAGTTCTTTTGACATCGATAGCTAGCTTTTCACTGTGTGAAAACAACTTTTCGACAAGTCATTACATTTGCGAAGTCATAAAATATACAAACTTCACATACCATGGAATAATAAGTCATTCCGAAAGTAATTTCTCTTTTTTCAAGGTTTTCTAAGAGCTCTTAGTGGCATTCGATGCAGCATTTCATTCCTTTTCTAACGATTATACAATCGTTGCAGCACAGTCAATGAGCTTTCAGAAAATAACCAAAATCTGCGACCTATGCTTTTTGAGATGGTCAAGTTGCACAATTTTTGTAAACTTTTATATCAACTCTCCGAAGAAGTAAAAGTAACGTATCTGTGGTGCCAACCCTACAGGATGCAAAACAATTTTTTCCTCCTTTTTACAGCTTGTAATACTCTTCTTATAGAGTTTTAACTGATGCTACCAATTTCATAAGGAGCTAAATCCTCGTAGAACATTAAAGGGAAAGCAGCTCGGGTATTATTTGATACAGCTTTTCTCCCCTTTCTGATGGGTGCTTTTGTTTCCGATTTGTGGAGTCTCCGTGAATAAATCATCATAACTTATGTTTTTGAACGCGCCTCAGGCTGTACACGAAAAACTCGAATTTTGATGTTCCACATCGTAAACTCTCATCTATTTAGGAGAATTAGTGCTAATTATAGTACTATCTTGGGAGTTTCAAATTCCAAATAATTATTGTTTGATGCTATTGTGGCTGACGCAGGGCTGCCAAAATCTGATGCTTTTGTTAAAAAAATCTTTTGAAAATTTATGACGAGTTATATAAAAGAGAAAGAAGCTGTGCTGTATCCTACAAGGTTTGCTCTATCAAATCGTTACTTGGACTCCTTCGAAGGATTGATATGCAAGTTTAGAAAAGTTGTGAAACTTGACCATCTCAAAAAGCATGGATCGCAGATTGTGTTGATTGTCGAGGGATAATCGAATATGCTGCAACCATTTTGTAATCACTGGAAAGTGGATGAAATGCTGGTTCGAATGCTACCAAGATGTCTTATGAAGCTTCATTCCATCAGATGTGGCGCCCTGAATAAAGCGAAATTACTTTTGGGTTGACCTAATATTTCAAAATGGAACTTCCAGAAATTGATTATGATTAAACACTTTTCAACAAAATGAGTTTCTACCGCCTCAAAATATTGATTTTTGGGGTTTTTGGGTGCACCTTGAGACGCATCAGAAAATTAAAATTATGGCGTTTTTTTCCTCGAGGCCTTTACGAATCAGAAAGCAAAAACATTCCTTAAAGAGAGGAGAAGAAGCTGCATTGAATGACATCCTTGCTGCTTGGCTTTTGTGGTTTGGGATAAACAAATATCCAGTTTGGTAGCATCAAAATGTTAGTATTAGTAAATTTGAAATGCCAGCTATCGATGCCAAAAAATTGTATTACATTGCATTTTCAGCCTATCTAACTAACTGTTATTAAAGCGCTTCCAAAAGTTCAGAATGAAAATTTGAAAAATTACAAAAGTTAGGTAGGCAAAACTATAGGTTGAAAATTCTGACAATTCTTGAAGCGAACATCAAAGAAATCCGAACAAAAACATTAATGCTGGAAAGAGGAAGAAATTCTTGCTTGCAGAGGGAAATTGATGAAGTTCTGATGACACACAGAATATTTAAGAAATGAAAAGATGGAGGAAAAGGGGAGAAGGATGAAAGGGAGCATGCAACTATACTGTAGTAAAAGTGTGCACACTGTCTGATCGTAAACACCTCTTTCCTTCCAAGCATTCGAAAAGTATTAGATACCAATTTGTAGTGTTCCTTCGACTTATTATTATGAAGTGATTGCAGCATCGAAGAGATTTTTGAACCAAAGGTAGTTAGCCGTAAATTGGGGTTTTTGGCACTTCATAACGGCGCAAGAGTAGGCCCACAACGATTGTGTCTCTTCAATCTTGGCTGGCTCTCGGGAAAGCTTTGTTCCGGGTTAGGAGGGGGATGAGCGACAACATTTTATTGGATTGATGGGCATGGAGTTGGCCGCCTTTTTAAGGAGATTCACCTTAAAAAGCTAGAGGTTCACTTTTAGCAAGTAAGTCTAGCGAGGTGCCACTCACCTTCAACAACAAGGATAGCACTGGAGAAGCGCTTCTACAGTGTTGCACGCCTTTTTCCCATTCCGGCAGCTATATCAGAATCTTCAAATAACCGCATGAATACTTGTCAAGAATTTGGTTCTATCGTTTATTTCGTCTAACTAGAAGTTTGTCATTGTCTGCGTAGAATTGAGGAAGAACCTTAATAGCAAAGGAGAGAATGCTGCATCGATAATTATCAGCAGCGTCCATGAGCTTGAACGGTCTAAACATGAAACTTCCTCACATCAACAAATGAAACTTGAATTCTCAACCAGTTGAAAGCCTAAAAAGTGTTGCTTTGAAAATTTTCCTTATTTGCACGTAATTTTTTTTCAGAAAGTGAAATCAAGAAATCTTGAAATTATCCAAGTCAAGATAAGGTGAAAGCGAGGGAGTCAAAATTTGGCGGTACATCTAGACTTCAAGCAAAATGATTTGAATTGGTGCTGAGCTGATAAAGCAGAGAAGACAAGCTGGTAACTGCAAGTCCTCTTTTATTGCTAGAGACTTCGCTTTAACTAGTGCATCTTTCATTATGAGCACATCCAGACTTTTAAAGCCTCGAATTTTTCTAAAAAATATAATCGCAGCAGATCGCAGCAGCGAAATCAGAATCATTTTGCACTGTGTTTTCGTAACAGACATATTCCAAACAATAGATTAACGGCTTATTCTAATTCCTGATACTACCCCCTGATGGAATATGTGGGGCACAGCAGCGACTGATCACTTTGCACACTTATGTATTGCCCTAGGCTGTAAACTTGAATTTTGTTGAAAAGAGATCTGTAACATCTGTTTTATTAAACATAATCCACATCTACCCTTCTAATCTGCCACAGGTAAAGGTATTTCCGTTTGTTGCAAAGAAAGCGTATTGCAAATTTGAACGTACATATGCCCAAGCTTTTTGGGCCAAGACTTTTAGCCTGATGTCTCAATAGAATCCAGCTACATATCAGGTTTTTTACTCCGCATACACTATTTCCCCGTAAAGTTGTCTTAAAACTTCCGCAGAGTGAGTCAAATTCAAAATTAGCTGAATATTGCACTGGCTGATATGCAGCTCTCTAAGAAAGCCACTACGAATTCTGACCATATCCTTATGAGAATGCGAAATAATGCGTTGTTTATTATTTTTGGCATTTTTGAATCTTTGAGATTTTTTCGTTTTTTCTTGTCCCTTTATAAGCCGGTATTTGGAAACTAATTCACCTCTACCAAAACAAAAGCATACTTAGGAAAGTAGAGACATAGAGTTTTCGAATGGTGCATATAGTTTTCTATCAAAAGTAGTTTCTTTATAAAACCAGCATGGAAAAGGTAAATAAAGCTGTATAGTTTAGGGATCTTACAAACAAACACTTAGAATCTTTCAACATTATCACCCTTGGAGATTACTTTTTCTACTTTTCTCAAAATTACTAGGTGGGTCCGAAAGTTTTGTCGTTTCATTTTCAAAAATTTTGTATCTTCGCAAGATTTGAACGGATTTACTTGCTTTCAATTTTATTAGAAAGAGCAAGTGTTTCGCTTTTAAATGCTATTTTGTATAGCTTCCGTTTCACATTGGGTGCGGAGATAAAACTGGAAAACTAGGACCATGTAAGCTTTGATTATTTTAAGTTAAGTCACCAAAAATCTGGAATATTGCAGAAAAGTCTGAAATCATCAGTACGTATGTTTTTTGGCCTACTCTTCGCAACTATGAAGAATTTGTGCTGTTTGGACGTCTCTGTGAGAAGTTATGAATATCGAGTTCACTATGGAAAAGCCAAAATCAATTAATTTGTCAATTTTCGCGAAAATCATAACTTTTCACAGACACATCCAAACAATACAAACTTTTCACGCAAAGAGTAGAGTAGGTCAAAAAACCTATGTAATGACGATTTCAGATTTTTTTGCAGCGTTCCAGATTTTTGGTGACCTACTTAAAATGGTCAAAACTTATATGGTCCCATTTTTCCATTTTTATCTCTGCATTCAGTGCGAAACTGAGGCTTTCCAGAACGGCGTTTAAAAGTGAATGACTTTTCCTTTCCAACAAATTTAAAAGCAAGCAAATCCGTTTGAATTTCGCGAAATTACAAATTCTTGAAATAAAACGACAGAACTTTCGGACCCACCTGATATTTACATTTTCTGTAGAAGAAAACTTTACATAGATATCATCTGCGCAACGACGCAAATATTACCTAAATTTCAGTATGCGGTTACGATATCAGCACCTTTGCAGTTTCAAAGGTATGTTGGGTTCTCCTTAATTTTCTTATTTATAACTGGAGCTTCTGTATCAATGTTGTAGAGCTCAGAAATGTTGTCCCATTTCTTCCAAATTCGGCGCTCTATCATTACCAATTATGCAAAAACGATTTCGATCGGAGGTTATCTGCTGCCAACTCAGGCGTAGGAAAAAAATGCAAAGTGCAATAATTACGGGTGCGCCATAATTACCAGTACCAAACTTGCAGCAGTGCCACGAAAAAATCAGTGCGTTGACACTTTGCAAAATTCAAAAGAGTTTCGTTCAAGAGTGTGAGGTTCAAAGAATCAGGGTGATAACAATTAAAAAGCAATAATGGAATTTCTATACCCTTAAATTTGCTCTACAACTGAAATCAAAGCCCTTCTGAATTATTCCGAACTGAGGCTGTAGCGCACACTTTGCACTATCACAGTCCTAGGTGTGTTTGTAAGAATGACATAATATCTACCATGACCGATTCGTGAGAATGGTTTCAAACTGATTTGGAAGACATTTTCTGATCAGGCGCTCTCAAAAAAGCCAAATTAACACTGATTTTCGACGTGCAGCTTTTCAAGCTTGTTTTGACAAATCAAAAACTCCTCTTCAAAATTTCTTCCAAATTATCGTACTCAAAATTGTTAGAGGCGAATGCGTACCCTACCCTAGTGCGCGATCTCAAAGCGAGATAAGTTTTCTTAAAAGGCATCGTATAATTTCTCAAAATGCGTACAGAATACGACTTATCTGGACGAAGATTTGAGATTTTTGAAAGATCAAGTAACCGAGTTCTAGTTTTATTATTGCATTACGATGATAATGGTCGATGAAAACAAATGCATGGCTCCGGGCATACTTCGCGCGAGTTTAGTCGTGACGCGATTTGCCAATACTCCACTTGTCCATAACTCCTGAAAGCGCATTTTGAGGCTCATGTGCATGAAAACCCTACAGCAAGGGAGCGGGAGTCTCATGTCGCTGCAGCTTATTCATCATTGGGGAAGCCGTTCCCCTCGCCGCAAGGTTTTCATGCGTACCGGCCTAAATGTGAACGAAAGCTATACACATTAGGCCTAAGGCATGCCTCATGCGATTCCAGTCGCTGCTCGATTTGATACCGGGACTGTTCGTAACTGGTCTCCGGAGCGCTTTCTTTGGGTAGAATTTAATCTGTTCGCAACAGATTAAAGAAGCTAAGCGCCTATGTATCGGAGAACCTCGCACGATATATTTGGAGACATCTGGCAAACTGCTAGGTCGCGTGAACGTTGCGATTTGGCCGAAATCGCGCGAAGTATGCCTTAGGCCTTATGCATTTGCATTCTTGCATTGTTCAATTTGAAGACATTTAGCCAAAAGCCAGATCGCATGGCTACCGAGAGTAAAATATGCAAGTGCTGAAGTGCAGCCATTAATCATAAGGTTACAAAAATGTGCAAGCGATCTGTCTACACTTCTGAATCAAAATAATATTCAAGACTTCTAAGAATTTAAATTGGCCATTGTGGGTTAAAAAAGATTTCAATGAGTCGGAGATGACTATAGAGCACTAAGATATTCTCGCAAACAGGAAGTGAGCAGAATGCATTTTTATCAACGCATTGCTGGTCTCACCAGCAGTCAAAGCTCACAACACTGAAAGGCTTTTTTGAAGGACAAAATGTGTCTGGCCGTATTCCGGCATTATACCATAAGTTTGTGTAAAACACATTGCTTCCCGATTTATTGCCACTAGTGGCACACCGCTCTATTACCATGACAAAACTCACCAATCCGTCCCACTTCTGCACATATATACCTCTCAATATTATCCACGTACCCCTGTGCCACCCCAGAGCCTCGCACACCAAAACTTGCAAAAAATCGATAAAATCGATGGCGTCGATAAAGTTAGCTTGTGACACTCACACGACACCAATGTATGTGCGGAGTTTGGCCGCATCGGTTCACAACGAAGTTTTTTTTTTATAACAGACGCTTATTTCTTATGCTGCTATTTTTAATTGCAGGAAGTCATGGTTCTCATCTCAAGAAGACTGTAACTGCATTATTATTATTAGCAACTCTATCTACGTATTTCCTGCTCAGTGAGAAGACACAGACGGTGCGAAATGCACCTCAGGTACGTTCCATTCAGCATAACAAATTTTGAAACGCCAGAATATGAACTCCCATGTCTGGTTAGTTGTCACTCACAATGGCACATTAAACTTTTGAATCCCTGTGGCAAGGAAAGCGGTATTTGTAGAAGACCGTATCAGTGCCAGCGTTTGATCTTTCAACAAGGAACGCTGCTTCCCTCGCAGCAGGATCTTTCATGCATATAGTGCTCAGAATGGTGGAGAGATACGTGTTTTGAGCTCTTTTCTTTCAGTGGGAACACGCTCCATTCTATGCTAATGTTTCTTCACGGGTCGGAGTGGCAAGTAACAGCGTGACGTGATGGCTTCACACGGTGAAATAACTCAAAGGCGTGACGGTGCAATATGTGTAAAAATTTGTACTCTACGGTCCTTGGCTGATTACAGCAATGACGCTGCTTTCACTGCGACCACGTGTTCATACATTTTTAGACAATCAAAGAGCGGCCATGCCTTATAGCCTTATCTGACAAGAGAGGGATACTTGGTCGAAGTGGTGGCGTCTCCATATGCGATGTTTAATTCCTTGTAGAGCATGGAACGCTAATTTCAAATCTGTTTTCGGCATTTGCAAAGCGCTTTTGGGAGTGGAGTTCTGGGAGTTTTTTGAGGTAAAAATTCAATGATTTGGCTAAGGTAAAAACAAGAGTTGAGGTCTTTTCGGGGCTGGAAAGAGTAATAACTGACATGAGTTTATTAAACTAAAGATATTTATTGTATAAAACTCCGGTAGTAATCATGGCCTCATCTGAGCTCACGGACTCAAGTTTTGGAATGATTTCATTACAGCGACGATTTCAAATTTTTGCATCAAAAATCGCCATAACTCCACTCCCAATAGCGCTTTGCAAATAAAGCTGATTTGATCAGCGTTCCATGCTTATAAAACGGTATACATCTCATATGGAGAAGCCACTTCGACCAAGTATCCGTCCCTTGTGAGAGCCTTGACTGTCTGAGTTAGGAAATACTTACCAAAATCAAAAATTTTGCTACGAAAGTTCTTCTGCAATTATCATACCAAAGTCCAAGATGTTCTTGCATCCACTTCGGACTTCATGGTTCAAAAGAGATCAGAAAAATCAACAAATGGAATAAGCAGACTTTCGAGTAATCAGTATGTCTACATCCCTTTGCGACGGATGCACACTTATGCTGAGGATTAGCTTAGTTTGCCAGCCTTTTTTCTACGGTAATATTACTGTTTTTCGTGGCTGAAGCTCAATGTTGCTTGTTGAGATCAGTGGTTGAGGAACAACAGCAAGACTGGCACAAAAGCTGCAAGCTTTTAAACGATTGTTGCCGTAAATATAGAGTTCAAGTCAAGCAAATGTAGTGGGATGTAAACATAAATGTCATCATTGTCATTTGATAGTTTGCGTTACGAGCAGGGGTGCGATGGGGGGGGGGAGAGCCGGGTACTATACTTGGGGAAATTCGAAATTTTTTTCGAATATTCGAATATCGAATATATTCGAAAATTGAAAATTTCGAATATTCGAATATCGAATAATATTCGAAAATCGAAATTCTCGAATATTCGACTATCGAATATTACTCGAAAATTGAAATTTTCGAATATTCGACTTTCGAATATTATTCGAAAATCGGAAATTTCGAATATTCGACTATCGAATATTATTAGAAAATGAAAATTTCGAATCGAATAATATTCGAATATCGAATATCATTCGTTATTCGAATTTCGAACATTATTCGGTTCTCGAATGTTATTCGATTTTCGAATACTGACCGATTAATTTACGTCATTGAGACTGCCTATGAAAGGCCAAAACACTAAGAACAAATTGTTTCATATAAGTGCTAAAAGTAGACACATTCTTATGGTACAATTTACGATGGAAAAACGGTTAGTCGTGACGCGAAGAGACTTAGGAACTTGAAAGCTACTCCTGTGACGGTTGTGAAGAGATTTTTCGTACTTCAAAGAAGATTATATACCCTCACTGAGAGTTGCGATTGGATATACAGCGGTCCAAACAGTAGTAGATCTGTAGGCTGACGTCAATTTAGAGTATGGGGCGATTTATCAATCGCTTTTCACTGTTGTAAAATTACCGTAAGACTGAAGCAGGTTTCAAAACATCAAGAGCCATTTCCCCAAGAAAAAGAATCAAAAAGGCTGAAAGTCTTGCTCTAGATTTCTGGACACTCAGATTATGTAGAATTTGCGCTCAACCGTAATGCTGTTTTTCAAAACTTACGCCAGGTATCCTGTGTCCCCCAAAAAAGTTCCCATGTGAGCCAGCGTGCGTACATTTTGCGACGCTGCCTTTCGCTCTTTTTGACACGTTTCTCCTGAGATTTCAATGGAACTGCCCGAGGTTAACACGTTCAAAATAGCGAAAGGCAGCGACATGACGTGGTACCTATGGGAAATTTGCTGGGGAACAAACGATACACCGTAACAAGTGTTTTGCAACGCCTTTCAAAAATGTGATTGCCATTTGAAAAGCTTGAAAACTCGTGCGTAGTGAAATTAGCATACGTAAAAACACTGCTGCACAGATTTTAGACCTTTTTTGGAGACATTTTTTTTGGATGCCTTATTTCGCAGTTGGTCTGGAATTTCCCACCGTGGTAACAATTCGCTTTCTGCTGTATTTATAAGCTAAAACCATCCCTACTGGATGTTACCCAGAAATTGCCAAAGGATTTGAGAGGTATTAGGCGATCAAACGGTGTGGTACTTTCAAGACACCTCGTATACGCTATGCATATCGAATTTTCGAATATTCGGTGCTTATCGGATTTTCGAATAGTCAATTCTTATCGAATTTCCGAATATTCGGTGCTCGACGAATATTCGAATTTTTGATGGACATCGAATGATCGAATGAATGACCCTCGAATATTCGACTATCGAATAATATTCGAAATTTAAGATTTTCGAATATTCGACTTTCGAATAATATTCGAAAGTGAAGATTTTCGAATATTCGACTATCGAATATATTCGAAAACTGAAAATTACGAATATTCGACTTTCGAATTTTATTCGAAATCTCAAATTTTCGAATATTCGACTTTTCGAATCATTCGCATTCGAATGATTTATTCGAATGATCGAATAATTATTCGATTCGGTCCCAAGTATACCGGGTACCCTGAAAGCGAAGATGGTCTTAATGTTAGCTACCACTGCTCGCCAAAAGCGAAGGTGGTAGAGTTGACTAATAAGAAGAGGAACTAATTGTAAGGAAAAAATGCAAGGTTAAAGGCAGCGTCCACCCAAAATTTTGCCTTCCATTTTTTGCCATTTCGAGACCTTTTCATGGCTCTGATTACAGTTATGAAGTTCAAATAGTCCAAAGCTCCCAAAAACCCCGATTCTTGAGGACTCTCTTTTGAGGGCGCCGACGGCTTTCAGTACATGGGTGCGCGGAGTCTGACAGGACATGGGTGGGGCCTGATAGCACTTTGGCTGCTCCAAGCCCCTTATCTCCATTCGAAGACAACATTAGAGGACCGGACCAATGCAGATGCCCCTCTAGTGAGGCTTATATTCAATATCGACACTAATCGGAGGGGCTTAGATTTAGCCTAGACACTGCCTTTGATAAAAGCTTTTTTCTCACTCAATCTGCTTCTAAAAACTCGCCGTCGCTTACTGCAAGCTCAAGCATGGACGCATCCATGCCACAACACTTCCCACAAGTTTAGAAAATAAAGCTTCTTGAAGAATTTTGATAATTTCAAGAGTTCTAACAGTACGGCCCTCTCAAAGACCAGAAATACGATGAATACAGCGGCATAAGTATCGTAATTGCAAGGTTGTCTCGAAAGTTCTGTCGTTTCATTTTAGAAAATTGTAACTTTCTGCTGTCTCGACGGATTTTCTTCTTTTTCATTTCATCGAAAAGGAGAAGTCTTCCTCTTTGTAGTCGTTTCCCTACGAGCTTTTGCTATACATTCATTGCAGAGACAAAAATGGAAAAAGAAGATCACTTGAGCTTTGAGCATTTTGAGATAGGTCACCAAGAATCTCGAAAGCTGCAGAAAAATCTGAAATTGTCAGTATATAAGTCTTATAAGCTATTTTCTGCATCTGAGAAAAACTGTGCTGTTTAGACGTCTTTTGAAATATTATAATTTTCGAGTTTACAATAGAAAACGCCAAAACTGATTAATTTGTCACTTTTCTCGAAAATCATAAATTTCCTTGAAATGTCCAAACAGCACGATTTTTTCTCGTATGCAAAGAGTAGGTCATAAAACTCACATACCGACAATTTCAGATTTTTCTGCGGCGTTCCAGACTTTTGGCGACCTAACTTAAAATGTTCAAAGATCAAGTGCCTTTTTTTTCACTTTTATCTCTACAACGAATGTATAGTTGAAGCTCACCGAGATCCTCTGCAAAGAGGAAGACTTCTGCTTTTCAATGAAAATAGAAAGATGCAAATCCGTAGAGACAGCAAAAAGATACAAATTTTCAAAAATGAAACGACAAAACTTTCGGGACAAGCTAGTATCTCAAATAAAAGTGTTAATCAAATTGTGTATTTGCAAATGAAACTCAGCTAGATTTTACGTATTTTTTGAGTAAATTTTCTTGTAACGTACTGCGAAGAAAGTTTGATCCAGGCAGTAACCGCCGAGAACTAAAATTTTAAATGATAAAATAGCGAAAAATTACGCGAAATTCTCACTGTTTTTAATCTGGTGGTCAGTAACTGCGACTTCATTGATTTTGTAAAGTTTGTCGTACCAGAATGTTCTTAGCCGTACCAGTTCATTCGAACACCGCCGACATCCAGGCTGAAAAAGTAGGTAAAAAATCGTTTTTTAACTTATATTAGCTCATAACTCCTCCAGAATTGCATTTTCATCACTAATCCTCCACTGGCGGCCTCCAGCTCATTAAAATGGACGAGGTGGAGGATTAGTGATGAAAAGTCTCCACCCCTGGTTAAAGCACTGAGAAACATAGAGCCCCTCACATATCATAACCTTTCTGAAGGCTCTTGAAGAGGAGAATTTAAGCTATGACGTCGCAACAAGATTCGTGCAGTCCCGAAGAAGTTACGAGCTGTTGAGTCTTGAAAAATTATCTTTCACGCTTTTGCAACAGCGTGGTTCTCGGTGATTAAGTTCAGTACGGCTAAGAATAATCTGATAGGGTAAACCTTATTCTACATTACCTATGAGCTCGCAACATCATATACCTTTACACCAGTGGCGGTCCCAGGATTTCGGACCGGGGGGGGGGGCGCGACAAAAATTTTTTCCAAGTGAAGGTGCGTGGCGTCAGCCACGCACTCCGAAAAAAAATTTTTTATAAGGCTAATTTGAATTTTTAAAAAATTTAAAAAATTATTTTAATTATTTACAAAAATAAACAAGTCGTTTGCACATTTTTATAGCCCATATAGGTAATTTTTAAAGATTTCGCGACCCATTCTCGGGGGGGGGGCCTTCGGACCGCCACTGCTTTACACTGAAGATTTATAGGAGTTCAAATGTCAGCTATCACTAAGCAACCTAAAATGGCGTAATTTTTTAAATTTCTGGTTCTCGGCGGCCACTTCTTAAATCGACTTGATTCTTTCATTATCTGATAGAACAACACTTACCCTTCAAATTTTAGTTGCAGTACATCTTCAACCACCTGATTTGTAACCGTGGAAATATTGCATGAATTTTCGCTATTTTATCATTCAAAATTCCAGTCGTCGGCGAACTGCATGAATCGACCTCTCGCTTCGCAATACGTTATAAAAAAATTTACTCAATGAAGTACGTAAAGTCTAGCTGAGTTTTGCTTATAAATACACTAATTGATTGAAGCGTTTATTTAAAATAATCATGCCGGTATACTCATCTGTATATCTGGTATATCTGGCCCTAGACAGGGCCGTTATGTCACAGTTGTTGGCCCTAAAGAGGGCCGTTGGGTTAGAGCTCAATTAACTCAATTTAACAATAAGCTTTGTTTTCCGAATTTTATGGGTAGTGCTGGGGCCATGGCTAAGTTGCCTCCATGCCTGATCGCCTTCGGGTGCTCGCAGTAGACGATGGCAAGTTTCTCAAAGTGAACTACATGGAAATATGCTTTTGATACTCTCTTTCGCGTTCATTTTGCTTATTTCTTTTTTATCGTTCAGCAGTAAAAATTTTGAAAAGTAAAGGTGTTCACCCTGTACCAGCTCAAAAGTGAAGATAGGTGGAGAGTGGGCTGCAACTATCGCACCTCTTGTTAAGTACGAGTTCAAACTCACATAATTTACCAAGACACTACAACAATTCCCTTGTTTCTTGACCCTTTGTGTCATATGCCATTTTCAGGATGCCCCTGTTATTGTTGTTTGGACAAATTTCTTCAAAGAGTCATTGAAGAAAATGTTGCTGCCAACATTACAAAACTGTGAATATCAATGCGAACTCATGGACAGATTCGAACAAGAAATTTCGTACGATGTTTTATTTCTCAGATATGACAACATACAGCATAAAGCTATGCTCACCTTCGTTTTTTTAGCAACAAAAGCGCAGCCGCTTTCATCTTGCATGGACGCAATATGAACCACAATGACCTTCCAAAGCAGAGTTCAGAGCATCTAAACGTCCTTTTTCTATTGGAGTCGCCTTTTCACACTGGACCTGAAATGTATCGAGTATGTGAATCATAAGGAATTACCCCCACTAATGAGCAGAAAATGTTTGATTGGCAATTTGACTGATTACGGAGTTAGGTTTCAGACATCTCTATTATTGAGCATTTGATCATCTGAGCAGTATCTATAGTTCCACTAAAAGAGGGTCTTGTCGTTTGTTTTGAAACTTCACAAAAAGCATTTCAAGAATATTCGCCAGGACCCGGCAGAAAGGTGCTAAATGTCTAGCTGAGGAACTTTGTGCGGAGAAAAATAAAAAGGGTATTGTAAACACATACATGCGCCTAAATATGCGCACAGATAGCTATACGATTGACGTGTAGGACATGATGCTGCTCAAGGCATAATTTTGAATAAAAACTAATTTTTATCGGACTAACACGTAAGTATTAATACTGCCTGGTTTAACGGAGATCAATTTTGGTAGTTCAAATGGATAAAGGCTAGGAGGAAATTAGAGAGAATTGTGAAAAGATTATATGAATGAAGGTTGTGTGACAAGCTTTTTTCTGAAAATTTCTCGCTGATGAAAAGTAAAAAGATGTTTGTCTGCAATGCATAAGTAACGGTTTGAATTTAAACTTGTTGTCTATATGCGGCATATATTAGGTGGTTAATTGCCACCCTAATGCCACGTTGAGTGTGACAAAACTTACGTTCACTCAAGTCTTTATTATTACATAAATCTGTTCTACATTTGAAGCTTACTATATATTAAGATCCCATCCCAAAATTTCCCTTTCTTCGCTGCTGGAATTCGACGTCCGACGCAGTTGGCGCGATCGAGGGGAACATTATAAATTTGAAACGTTTCACGGTCGATTTGCCACCCTCTGCCGGGCCCTATCCGCTTTCTTTAGCTCCTATAGATAGCTCGTTTTAGATACTAGTATCATGGCTAAGAGATTTGAAGGACTTTAACCTGCTCTATGCATTCAGTTTTTTAAAAATTTCCTGACGCTATCATACATCAGTGCAAATATATTTTTCGTATCAAGGTACCTGGTGATTACTTCAATGCTACCATGACGTACAGATTAGATTCCCGCTACTTCTATCCTTATGGCCACTTTCAACCACGGTCTCCAAGTGATACAGTCGGCATAATCACATATGATCAGGTAATGCTTTGTAAATTTAGTAAAGCATGCAAATGTAAGAGCAGCCTAGCAGACCGGCACTTTCGCTCGCTTAAGATTGGCCCGTAGTAAACCACCCTTCAGGGGATTTGCCCTAAGACGGACCCGAGTTGATCGTATGGCGCCTCGGTCTAGCATCCCGCGAGCTATTGATTTAGATGCGGATCGCTTTTCAGGCATAAAAATCCTGCGCGCTATCAAAGAGGGAACATTTACACCTTTTGTGCAGGTTTGGTCAAGCAGGTATGTGACTGGTACTCAGCCCACATGACCGTGGTTCGGCGCCGGGCAGTGGCGAATTTTTGCGCATCACTGAGCAATCGTTGATAGCGGCCACTATCGAAGAAAATCGATGACGGCCGCTATCAAGGACACAAACCAAATGAATGCACAAAACAAAACTGCGTTTTTTTAAACCATTTTTCAAAAATTGAGGAAGTAGGGACAAAATCGAATGGAAATAAATAAAGAGATTGTCGCTCTGAGTAGGTTTTGTAGAAAAAACCTAAGCAAACTCTGCAGAAAGGAAAAAACCTATTCTTCTGTTTTTTACCGAAATCAGCTGTTCATTGATCCTTTCCTTTTTGGGCACCGGTATTGTGCAGTTTTGCGCGTTCTTGTACTGCAACAATACGTCAAGTACGATGTCCCATAAGTTACTTACGAGCAACTTACGAGATTTTTCTCTGCGTCTCATCCCTTGCACGTTATTTCGGCCAATTCATCTCAAATTGAGGCTACTGTTACGGATTTCAGGTGAATTCATCGCGGCACATGCCCTGACGCTAACCCTTCAGATCAGATCGCATTCTTAAGCATGTGAGAGTGACCGCTAGTCAGTTTATCTTAAATATGAAGTGAAGTGGGGTTCACTACGGGCCATTGTCTTTTTAGCGGAAAAGCAGGGCAAAGACCGTAAGACGTTCTTATCCTCAGAAAATTGTATTATTGCTATACGGCTATAGCGGCGGTTATACGTACGCTCAGCAGCTTTTTAGTCGTCCTCAATCCATTAACACTCGATAGTTAGACTCGAATCTGCAAGGCCGGTTGCGGCTGAGCGTGGCACTCCCAACGCTCCTTTCGAGCTTATGCGTGATTTTTTTCTTCTTGTCGTTCACGCTACTTCTTGGCCTTGGTCCCCCCCCCCCGAGTCGTGACGACTCACTCGGAGGGAGTCAAATGCCCGACAAATGCCTTTTTGCTGCCGCCCCAAGGGATAGACAACGTATGCTATGCATATACTCGGCGTAATGCCGCGACAACGCCGCTGGCGCGGCAAAGCAGCACATGCCGACTATACTTGGGGAAATTCGAAATTTTCTCCGAATATTACTTCTGCTCTTATATAGCTCAAATTGGAGATCACCAGAGTACATGGCTGTATGTGTCGAAGGTATGCTCGCTGGGAAAGGGAGGGTTCTGAGAGGGACGGAACATGTTTCGCTACACTAGTTGTTTGTATTAATCTTTTTCTACAATCGAGTAGATTTTCCGCTTAATATAGTGTGCTTGCACTGAACATGAAATGCGGTAAGATTTGCGCGTAAAGAAATAGCTGCGCCTGTGACACCGGCCAACTGCGCGCGCAAAACGCTGGCATTACTGGCACGGCTACTTGTTCACTCGCGAATTTTACCGCATTTCACCTTCAGTGCAAGCAGACTGTATTAAGCGGAAAATCTACTCGACTGTATCTACCTCAGGGAAATTACATACCATAACATCTGAGCTTGATGAATTGTACAAAATTGTACAGACGAGTTTTCAGCTGTTACATGTACCCTTGGATCATCTCACATATGCAAAGTCATTTATCTTCCTACAAACTCGATGAAAATGCATAAGTTAGTGAAATCTAAGGATATCGAGATTATCGATGAACCGCTGTTCGCGAGTGAGGTTCATCGAAATTCTCACAACCTGCACAATCCATTTGATTTGTCAAAAGTGCCCCTAGCAGTATCAGGGTAAATCTTCCTTACAACTTTATCACCTCGTGAAAAAACAGACGACTTTGGAAAGAAGGAGTAACCGAAAAACGTGTGGAACCCTAGGGGACGGAACAGTGAAAATCTAAGGGCCGCATGCACTAACCTCCCCGCTGGGGAGGGGATCGCAGCTTAAAAGAAAGCTTTATATTTCGAAACTCCAGATACCTGAATTTCACGTTGTGTACCTATCCTTAAGTATTCCTACTACCCTTCACTATGAACATGTTGAGGAGGAGCGAGAAGCTGTACAAACCGCATTTTCCAGCTTTTGTATGATCCCTGATGATCTCCGGCGCTTTTCTTCAAAGTCATTTTTCTTTCTCCGAAGTTAACGAAAACTTTCCAAAGCTGTACTGAACATCTAACACAACAGTGCTAAGCATGTTGCTGATGAGAACAGATGAGTTCTTGAAAAGTCGAATTTTTCGGTAAACCTCAAATTTCGACCTGTGGATCATCGAAAATTTCATAACTTCAAAACATCATTTGTTCTTATCACGAACATGCTTAGCATTGTCGGGTTGAATAATCTGCACAACTTTGGAGGTTTTTCGTTAACTTCGGAGAAAGAAAAATGACTTTAAAGAAAAGCGCCGGGGATCATCAGGGATCATACAAAAGCTGGAAAATGCGGTTCGTACAGCTTCTCGCTCCTCCTCAACATGTTCATAGTGAAGGATAGTAGGAATACTTACGGATAAATACACAACTTGAAATCCAGCTATCTGGAGTTTCGAAATATAAAGCTTTCTTTTGAGCTGCGATCCCCTCCCCGCGGGGATGTTAGTGCATGCGGCCCTAAGCTTGTATGGCATTGTTTTGCCATCCTTCGTACTTATCAGGGTACAAGAACCTACAGATATTGAAGGTAGCAAAATATGACTCCCCCCCTCTCAAATTCTTATGATCCTTGATTCAAGAGTAACAGCCAGGTTCTATATGATTTTCATAGAGCTGCGCTGCTGATACTGTAATCGATTGCTCGCCCAAGGTTTACTGACATTAAGTAGAAATCTTTTTGGTTCTAACAAGGGAACGATCCCAACTTAAGGTGGCGAATTGGAATGAACCGCATACCATTAGATGTGTCTTGATGAGCTGATTCCATGTTATCTGCAAAAAGTTATGAGCGGTTGAAAATGTGAAGTTATCGGGGTTTCAATGCATAATATGCTTTAAAATCCAACTTGGAAGTGCACGACTAGCATGATATTGAGTATACTGGTTTCAAGAAATGTTCACATTCAAAGAAACACAAAGAAGTGTTTTGAACAACTAATTTTCGAGGTATGGCGCTGTACATTTGCCAAATTTGGACTTTTCATTACTCATAGCTTTCACCAAAGAGCTTTATTTGCTTTTTAGCTGTTCAAAAACACTTATCTGTGTTTCTTTAGAATCTGAGCATTCCCTGGAATCAGTATACTCAATCCATGCTAGTCGTGTACTTCCAAGTTGGATTTTAAAGCATATTATGCATTAAAACCCCCGATAACTTCACATTTTCAACCGCTCATAACTTTTTGCAGATAACGGTGTCGCAGATATGGAAGACAGATTTGAAAAAAGCTCATCAAGACGCATCTAATGGCATGCCGTTCATTCCAAATCGCCACATTAAGTTGGGATCGTTCCCTTGTAAGTGGCAAAACGCTAGACGCACGGCTCGTCAACGCGTGTTAATGACTGCGAGGGCATCGACCTTAATTTTAGGACAAACTTGTCATCCCCCTTCAAGCGGGAACGGATCAAAAGCATTTGAGCAGATTTTTCGCGAAGCGGTGTCGCAACGACGTCAAACAGTGCAGAAACGAGGTTCCGCTAGTACTCTTGGCGTGATATTACTTACGCATTGAGTCATGTATCCGCCCCCCCCCCCCCTTCCACTGACTCCCACTTCCTGCCTGGCGCTGGTAAATCTAGCATGACAATTTTGTAAGGTTGCGTGCATCGTGCACGGCTGAGGCACCCGCCATACTTGATCCACTTGATCCGCTTGACCTGCTTGATCCGCCTCGTGCAAACGCGCGTCATTAATCTGTATTTGGCGTCGCGTACAGCGAATTTGTGCAACCATACAAAATTCCTTTTCACCTATGTAGCGTCAAATGACAAACTGCTGTGCGCGCGCGTTTTGCACGAAGCGAATCAAGTATGGCGGGTGCCTAGATCGGTCGCCTGCAGGTTTCATTCCTAACCCTAGCTTTAGCAGCCACTCTCGAGGGCGCTAGCTTACAGATACTGTTGGGCTAATTTACAGTATTCTTTGTGCTTAATACATTCAGGAAACAAGAAAAATCTACAAGTTGAATTACAAAATGGTTTGATTTTAGCTCGTCACTGCGGTCAAACGCAAGAAAAAAGGATCACTGATTTTTATTTCAAATTGTCGAACACCTTCGAAACGCGAAGAAACAATCAGGTTTTCGGATTTCACACTGCTGTTGTCATCCTTTGCATTAACATAATTTTTCATTTTAGAAAACTAGGAAACTTTACTGAGATTACTGTTAGAGGAAAGTGCAGAAAGGCGTTGTCAGTTAACAAAAATGCCATTTCTTGTAAAACAGATTGCAGTGACAGCGCCTTAATAGGTCTGTTTTAGACACTTGTGTTTGAATAGAGAAGGTTTTTCTTAGATTTACTTGAATTTATACTATGCTTTTCAGGCACGCATCGATTCTATATTGCATTCGAGAATAGCAACTGCTTAGATTATGTCACGGAAAAATATTTTGATCGCATCTCCCAACTACTTGTGCCTGTTGTAACGAAAAGGCGGATTTACGAAGGTAAATCCGAGTAAAGTAAAACAATTTACACTAGACCAATTTATCATAGACATTTCATAAAGTTTTTGAATTTTAGATGCTGGTCTTCCGAAAGATTCCTTTATAGCGCTGGATGACTTCGATTCGGTGAAGGACTTAGGAAACTACTTGAACATTTTACGCAAAAACGACACTGAGTATCTTAGGTTAGGTCACATTTATGAAAGAAACTTGTATAACAAGAGCTTATATATGTCATTTTTACTTGCGTATATTCATACAAACTCATTTCAAAAACAGAAGTTCTGCTCTCAAAATCTTAGGCTTGTGCTTAGGTATCGTCGCCTCCTCGGCATACGTTGGACGGAACATTTGCATCCGAATACGTTAATAAACTTGCTAATCCTTTAATGCAAGGAATTCCTTTTGCAATCTCTCGCTATCAAAAATGCCACTGGACAACAGCATATATACTTGGCAGTTTAGAAATTTCAGAGAACCATGTTTTACAGTAGAGGTTTGAAAGATTTACCATCGTCACAAATGTCTGCAAATACTCCGCCCAACGTACACCGAAATGACATTATTTAGTAATACAGTTTAAGGTATTTCGAATGGACAAAGCATTTCCGGAAGCCGAACGCTTATGTGGGCAACGCACTCTGTAGGCTTTGCGAAGATATTCACAAAGGAAAAACATTGAAAGTAAACAATATTAAAGAGTACTATGGAAAGGATAAATGCTTTTAGAAAAATTGCTTGTTCTGTGGAGACAGAATTTTTGTCATTGCTAAAACTTTGAAATTAGAATAGATAATTGTATTTCAACAAACAAATATAAGGGGATATTGCTCAAAGTGTCGTTATTTTTACTTAGCTGAGCGTGTTATTTCATCACACCTTTGGGATAGTAGCTTATGTCTCACTAACAGCATTCAAATGCATAGAGCTTATCATTCGTTTGGGCTCTGCACCTCTTTCGCATACAGCTATAAATACACTTCATTAGTGTAGGTTTCAACTAAGAATTAGATTTACAGTAAGAAGCACACCAACCATCGCTGTCATCACTGTATACGGTAGTCACAACATCGCCATTGTGAAATGAGCCGCTGGGAAAAAAGTTTTAAAGAGATCTGTAAAGTTGTGTAGCAGCGTTATCAGACATGCTGATTCCATTAAACACGAGTTTTAAAAGGCTTTCAAATAGTTTATTCACATATTAAAGAAAACACCGGTAAAAAATTGTTTACATGGCATAACATACGGAAAAACCCTTACGGTAAAGTGCGAATTTTATATTCAAATCAGCGACTCAATTTAGCCTAATGACACATTCTATTCTTTGGCAGCATGTAGCTACTTCTTTAAAGTTCTACCGTGATCTTACAGTGATGAAGAAAAGTGGGTAATATGCCTTATATTGTAAATCTAAGTTGAAGCCTACTCTATCGAAAGATACTCAAAGCTACGCAAAAAATCTTGGAAGGAGAATTATCAACAATCAAAAAATGTTACTTACTTTTAAAACACTTTCAACACGAAGCCGCTTAGGTTAAGCCGCCCTACTTTTCACCGCAAACTCACTCATGTAATTTTTCATATTTTTTTCAGTTCTAACCTTTGTGCTCTGCTGGCCATTGATACTAGTCACTCTAATACAATTGCGATATCTTATAGATAGAGTGTGTATGCGTTCCAAAATCTACCATACGTTTGATCTGCATAATCCTCTTGTACGAAAAGTATCCGCTTTTTATGACACCGGTAGAGCTAGCTTTGATCCAGTTTGCAGTATAAAGCGAACCACCGGCCGCTCTTCATAAGTAATGTAAGATTGCGGTAGGAATTTTGAAAAGGGTTGAAAGCCAGATAACCCTATCCCTTCCAAGAAAGCAAAACGGCCCTCTTACACCAAGCTGATAAAGTCGTTGACACTAAATATGAACTTGGCACGTCATGCAATGCTTCTTTCGAAAGTCATGACAAGTAAACGCAATAGCTAATATCACGAAGCTTTCTAAATGATTACCGTTTCAAAAGCTGTACAAGCTCGAAATTTTTTGGAGTTTTTTCTCGATATTCGGCTTACTTACAATGATGTTGTAGGCTAGAAGTTTCTATCGTAATCTTGCAGATAATGAGCAGTCGATGATTTGCTGCTACAGAGACCTAAGCTAAAGCTAGCTCTACAGATGTTAAGTGGAAGGCAGAAGCTTTTTGCACAAAACAGTTATTACAGTTCAAACATTCGATACATTTTTGGGAACCCTACATATAGCTCGCCAACAATCTGACTTAACCCTTCCGTCTGGCTCTGAAGTCACCACTGCGGGAGTTGAGTATTGTTAGATTCATGTGACTACACACGCAACTCACCTGGAAACGTAGACAATGATGTCTGCGTTTGTCTAATGGGCTTTGAGCAAACGAAAAGTTCAAGCTAATCGTCTCCTGATTGCAAGATAGGATAAGCTACTGAAAGAAATTTATTTGTAGACGCTACAACTTTTGAATTTCTTGAGTAGCAATATGTTGAAAGATAGTAACAATAACAAAGACTCAAGCCATATATATACCATTGGATTTCCTTGTTCCATGAGTAATTAGTTTGAAAGTGCACAGCAGATAGAGTATACAGGTTTGGAATCAGCGTTAAAATTCTTGCAAAGTGGTATACATTTCATTCGGAAAGGACACTTCGGCTAGAACCACTTTCCTTGTTGGATCCACATATGAATAACGGTGATTGGCTTAGACTATCTTCGTCGAACACCAGTGACAAAGAAAGCTAGATTACTTATTTTTGCAAACAACAAAAGTAACTTTTTAGCATGTGAAAGCCTTCGAATTATTTACTTCTTGTTTGCATCACACGAAAAACAAATAAAACAGATACTATTCACCAAAAAAGCGAATATGGGAAATGTTCTTTTGGAGGTGGACGAACAGAGTTAAGAAGTGAGTCACCCTTAGACTGGCGTTAAACTCATGAAGAACAATGACGGGAACCAGATAGGTGAAAATAAGAACAGCAAGATTACTTTAGAAAAGTCAAAAAAAGAGCAACGAGTATACTCTGGAAAAGTCAAGAGAAAGAGCAACGAGTACGCAGAAAGCGCAGCTTCCAAGTTTGTGGCCTTATTGCAGCAAAGCGGCAAGAGCATATAGCCAGAAGAAAACGACTGTTTCAGGTACGCTGCGCAAAAGACAAAAATGTAAGTAAGCACAACATTGGCTAACCAGAGAGAAGCGAATGGAATTAACACAAGCATAAATATTGTCAATGAATGACACTTTTCATCAAAACAACTGTGTGTAATAAAACAAATGGCTGAAGTATGATGCGAAAAATAGGAATCAACTTGCGCGACTTCGATATCATGGTTTGGTAATTGCAGGGTGGCTTTTAAAATCATATCATTGCTTATAACATTGCAATACCATACCCGGAAGTACTCTTACATCCTTACCATGTACCAGTGAGAGCGTTAACAACAAATGCTACAGTATCCGTTATGCAAGCGGATAGATTCTAGGGGTGCCTTCAAACTGCGCCGGCAGCCGCTGCTAGCAGCTCGTAGCAGCCGCTGGCCGCTTTTGTCAAATCGCAAAATCATCAATTTCGTACTATTTTGATCCATTGACGACGACGCCTGATTTTGCGTGGCGGCGCTGAGAGACGACGCGATTTTGCACAAACTATCGGTGTGGGAAAGTTTCGTGACTATTTACGAAATGTAAAGTTGTTTTGTAAGCAGCTACAACCATATTCTTGGACGAAGAAGACCGCAGATCTTGAGAGGGCAAAAAATGGAAAAAATACTGAACTATGGAAGCAATACTAGGCTTAGAAAGTACGTGATTTTGCAAGCTGGCCACCGGTGACCCACATCCTTCCTGGAGGCAAAAAGTGCGTGGGCCACCGGTGGTACACATCGTCGTCAATGTGTTAAGTGCAACCGCCCACGCTCTCCATCTTCCACGCTTTTTCCTTCCTGTTGTTGCAATTCGATCTCATATGTCATATTTATGTCCATTGTTGTTATTATCTTATTGCCGTAATTGGTTATCCTGTTGATGCCATTTCCCCTCTCGCAGTCGAACAATATTTCGCCAAAATTTCTTTGATTTCTTCTGACTTTGGATGCGTCCAGTTCCTGCAGTGTTTATTTTTATGTATGGTTCTGCTTCAAATCATATCCTTGGCCGGGGCTTATCTTGAATAACTTTGTAATATGTGAGAAATGGAACTGCATAAGAGGCATGGTGATGAAAAGCATGAGCAGGCGCACCAAAGTAGTAAGAATTTGATAATGAGCATCTATGACAAAAACGGCCAGCGGCGGCCACGGGCTGCTGGCGGCTGCTGTGGGATGCTTCGGGCTGTCAGCGGTGCTATGGGTTGCTAGCGGCGGCCGCTGGCGCGGTATGAAGGCACCCAAGTTTGAAAGCATCATGACTCAAAACCCAGCGCTAGAAATATTTTAGAATTTTGCTATGTCAGTTGTATTGTGTTGCTATGATAAAACGCAAAGCAATGCAAACATCAAGGAATACGGAAAGGCTAACAATGTATTGCAAAGAGCATTCCATTAGAATTATGCTAGTACTGAATTCAAAGTTGGGAGAAGAAAATGTATAGGATTACAGTATTCTTCTGCCGAATATATTGTATTTCTCAATTGTAGAAACGCCTCATCTATGCAATGTCCTAACTCTAGCGTTGCAGTCGTACCTATCACTGCAGTGAATCCTGCCGGATATTCATACTACGAAAATAGCAACCTCGCACTTGTTGACAATGCCAATGTTTGTTCCTCTGAAATTTTTTCATATCGCGACTGCTGCTGCCGAGGTTTTTTTAAAGCATTGAAATTTTTCATTGTTAAGATGGCAGACGAGAAAGAAAAGCAAATTTTGTAGATAAATAATCAAAGGGAACAAAACTCATCATAAGGGTCATGGCTTCAAGCTGCCTCTTTCGACTAAAAACAAAATATCACTGGAACAGCTTAGTATATAATATGGGTAATGGCAAAGTTGCAACACCCGCTTAAGCGCACAGTATTCAGTTTAACAGGGAAATAAGGCAAAACTGATTAGAATTAATTAGAAAGAAAGCCAACGATTAGTGCGCATGCGTTTCAAGCAACGCAACAACTGCAGAAAATGAAAACGCTGTTGTCAAACAAAGTGGATTGCCGTCGATTCGGGAAAGGAAAGTCAAAGATGGAAGAACACGTGGCAACGTTAATTTAAGTCAGAAACGGAAAAGTCACTTGCCGTCAAACAAAAACCTAGCAAACTGCATCAACAAGCCACCCTATTTTCACGTGTACAGCATCCGTTTTGCTCTAAACGAGAGCAGAACTGAGCGCGTCGCTGCTCATGTGCCTTGAACGGTCGCTTCCCTACTATTTGCGCAATTAACGTGCCCCTGGTTAGAACATATTTGTGTATTATCTCTTACCCTTGTTGGAACAAATTATAGCACACGATATGAACATTGCAACATTATATGCGCATTTTTGTATTCAGAACTACCATAACAAGCGTTTTCGAAGAGAAAATCTGGCATAGTTAATCCATTAACCCAACAAAAAGGCACACTAAACTAGTCAGTTAATTGCATTAGGCATCTCTCACGTCGGCGAGCTTAACAATAATCCTGCTTATCCAGCGATTGAGAGATAGACGAAATTGAGCTTCGCAAAAAAAACATGCCGAA